TTACTAGAGATGCCCATATACCACACCATGTTACAACACAGTAGGGCTATTGCAGACAGAAACAATACAGTACTACATAGATGTTTCCTGTCAGCTTGATCTTTGAGTGGACTTTGCTGTTCCGATGAGCATGAATATACGGTATATGAGTGGAGCACTCACATGGGCCGTGAGCGACTGAGCGGAGAACACACAGGCATAGAGCGGGATAATACGCAGAGCGTCACACCACGTGAAAGTGAATCCTGAGTGGTGAACTAATTTTCGGCAGCCGGAATTTCAGTGCATCTCTAATTATTGGCGACATCAGAAATGGATATTATATAATAGCTGCTTTTTTGAACATTTTAGCAATTTACACCCCTGCTCTCGACAGACGGCACCCCGGTTGGGAAACACTGGTCTAAATTTACTCACCCACAGGCCATCCAAGTTGTAGAAGAATTATATCTTCATTGAAAAAGATTTGGAGAAATGTAGCATCATGTCAGTGAATGGGTGCCGTCAGAATGAGAGTCCAAACAGCTGATAAAAACATCACAATTCGACTCCAGTCCATCAATTAACGTCTTTTGAAGTGAAAAGCTGTGTGCTTGTAATAAAGCCATTAAGATGTGTTTAACGTCAAACCATTGCTTCTGGTTAAAATACAAGTCCTCTATCTATAACATTACTTTTCTCAGAGGAAAAAAAGTAGCCTTGTCTGAATGAGGAGAGAAATATGCACAGATCAAGCACCGTTTACGAATGAAAACGGTGTAAAACAGTTCTAAACAAAAGCAGTGTGTCATTGGATTTTCTTGTAAGAGAAACAGGAGATGGAATTTGTCACTGAAGGAAGTGTTATTATGGATTTTAGCAAGAAGCAACGGTTTCAAGTTAAAACACCTTGATGGATTTCTTTCTTAAAAACACACAGCTTTTCACTTCACAAGATGTTAATTGATGGACTGGAGTGGTGTGGATTACTTGTGGATTATTGGGATGCTTTTATCAGCTTTTTGGACGTTCTTTCTGACGGCACCCATTCACTGCAGAGGATCCAATAGTGAGTAAGTGCTATACTGTATTGCTATATTTCTCCAATCTGTTCCGATGATGAAACAAACTAATCTACATCTAAGATGGCCTGAGGATGAGTACATTTTCCAAATTTGTATTCCTTTAAAGCTCCTTTTGCAATAGATCCGTACCAAGTAAATCTGTTTTTATTTCTCATTCTTCACTGAAGTACACACAATGTGTTACCTGCAATTGATGAAGTTTGGGGCTGGGTTGAAGGGCATATCCTCCATGGGGTCAGGGTTGTCTTTGTTCTCACCTCCCATGACCATCCATTCTTCCTTTTTCTCATTTTCAAACACAGCCCACTGCTGGGAGGCACACATCAGCAGAAGGAAGTCCGCTGCAACAGAACATTTTGCAAACATTTTATGTATTTTGGAGGGGCCTCAAATTTCACTATATCCACCTTATTTTTCAACACAGAATCCATAAGCCATTAAAATTAAATAACTAGACGAATAGCAGTGCAGTGAGAAACAGTCCAACTATTTGCACTACAAACCAGTGTGTTTATGATTCTGACAATACACTGAAACAATATGATAAAAATTACCATTCTGCAACATTAAAGGGGTCATATGACGATGCTAAAAATAACATTATTTTGTGTATTTGGTGTAATGCAATGTTTATGCGGTATAAGGTTAAAAAAAACATTATTTTCTACATACCGTACATTATCGTTGCTCCTCGCTGCCCCGCCTTTCTGAAACGAGTTGATTTTTACAAAGCTCATAGTTTGGAAATGCGCGGTGTGCTCTGATTGGCCAACTATCCAGTGCGTTGTGATTGGCCAAATACCTCAAGCATATGACGGAAATGTTACGCCCCTTTACCATATTTGGAAACACACAGCATCTCCATGACATGGCGGTGGTGGTAACAATACTACAGTGCCTTCTTTCTTTGTGTATACATTTGGGCGGTGTTATGCAAATCTTCCAACACAGTGCGTAAATTTGTGGTGTTTGAATGAGGCGTTTTTGGAAGGCGTGGTTGAGTCTAATCTTTTAGAAAGAATATCTCTTTGGGTTTGAGACTTTAATCTTTGCGACTTTACGGATCTAATCTATGCACGAACAGCTTGTAACACTCCAAAGAGAAAGGAAAACATGAAATCGTGTCATGACCCCTTTAAGCAGCATCACATATTGTACAACTAAAATAGTTGTAAACGGCTGACACAGTCAAATATGTGCCCACTTTTATGTTAAATATAATGATATACTTAAGCCCCACCTAAAATTGAATTTAAGTCACTGTATTAGATAAGACTAATAACCTTGATAGTTGACTGAAAAGTCATTGTTCTTAGAAGAAGTTTAGAATTTGTTTGCAGATGCCATTTGGTTTGATATTGTACAGTCTAATGTAACAACAGTCATACATTTTTTTATGTGGCTTAATATATGTTTTGAAGCCACTATAGGTAGGATAACTGGTGAGTAATTACATTGCTGTTCAGTTGAAGGTATCACTTACATATGAGGTTCCTAGAGTTGGGGATGGTGTAGAAGTCAGGTAAGTAGATCCATTTAACCAGAGCTGAATGGATAGTTACAGAGGTTCTCCATCTCCAAGGGTAATCTATAGCCATGTGAGACAGGTCAGGTTACTTACCAAGAAAATTTGTACTAATACTAAGCAGCAAAGACACACAAGATATGTTCTTGTAATTAATCTGTGGTAATCGGCAGCCGAGCTGACTTATACTCGTTTTAGGTCAAATTGTCAAATTTATTTGTATAGCGCTTTTCACAACACATTGTTTCAAAGCTTTACACACATACATCATGTTAATGTTTACAATATCTTAAAGGGATAGTTAACCCCAAAATGAAAATTGTTTGTAATTAAATATCATTAATTGCTCACCCTGATGTCGTTCCAATCCCGTAAGACCTTCGTTCATCTTCAGAACACAAATTAAGATATTTTTGATGGAATCTGAGAGCTCTCTGACCCTCCATAGACAGCAACGCAACTGAAATGTTCCCAGACAGAAACGTAGCAAGGACATCGGTAAAACAGTCCATGTGACATCAGTGGCTCAACTTCAATTTTGCAAAGCTACGAGAATACTTTTTGTGTGCAAAAAAAACAAAAATGACTTTATTCAACAATTCTTCTCCCCCGAGTTACAGTCATCCTCCATTTTAGAGAGTATCACAACGCATATGCACACTTTACCCTACGTGTAAACAACGCTGATTACGTTCATGCGCGCGTTTTCCCCCCTAACGTAAACAACGCCTATTACGTTCTTGGGTTCTCTTCAAAATGGCAGAAGACATAACGCGGGGGAGAAGAATTGTTAAATAAATTATGTTATTTTTGTTTTCTTTGCGCACAAAAAGTATTCTCATAGCCTCGCAAAATTGAAGTTTGAACCACTGATGTCACATGGACTATTTTACCGATGTCCTTGCTACGTTACTGTCTGGGAACATTTCAGTTGCGTTGCTGTCTATGGAGGGTCAGAGAGTTTTCAGATTCCATCAAAAATATTTTAATTTGGGTTCCGAAAATGAACGAAGGTCTTACGGGTTTTGAACAACATGAGGGTGAGCAATTAATGACAGAATTTTCCTTTTGGGGTGAACTAACCCTTTAATGCCTTATTGTCACATTTAGCAGGGTGAAATAGCCTTGTGGGCAGACATATAGCCGACATATAGCGTTGTTGCATTTTGGGTGTCCTGAGTTTGAGTCCTGGCTCGTTGACCTTTTACAATCCCGTCATAATCTCTCTCTCCCACTTTGCTTCCTGACTACATATATACTGTCCTAACATACTAAAGGCAAAAACACCAAAAATAAATCTTTAAAAAAAGAGAATAAATTATCCTATGTCAGTATAACGTATGGTACATGCTGTGGGGGAAAAAAAATTAATTTGATATTTTGCTACCATATAACAATCAAGCAGTTGAGATTTGCTATATAGTACGTCACTTAACGTGAGTGTATGTATCCGAGTAAGGTTTAATAAATGTTTAGTAGTTGTGTAATTCGTAATTATTAATTATAAGAGGGGTTTTGGACACTCAATAAGCAGGACAGGTTGAGAGACCAGCAGCCCAACAGCACCAGCTTGGCTTTTAAAAATGTGTCTCAAGAGTCTTGTGTTCTGTTCCATTTCATTGCCAGATGCTGAACTTTTTTTAAAATCCAAGAACCCATCTTGTATGAATGTCCAAAACAAAACAAGGCTGTGCAGCCTCTATATTCCTTTAATTTGAGACAAAAATTATTGCTGTTAAAGTGATACGTTAAGTGGCATCACATTTGTTTTGAATAGAGTGGTAGACTCACCTATACAGAGGGCAGGAGGGATGCCCACACACAGAACATACTGGTATATCATGAAGACCACCAGAAACAGGCAGTACTTTGACCAGATCTTGGCAATGGCTGCTCTGCGCCGCTGCACCATGATGGCCACCAACCAACAGCCGTGGATAATAACCAGGAAGTTCATACGCTGGCCAATAACATTCACAGTCATGAGAAAGCAGATCTAGAGGTGAAAGTGATGCACAAGTTAAAATTAGATTTAATATTTGTGCTTTGATCTAAACATCTAAAGTATCTCAGTATGTTTGAAATATTGCAGTTCTGTTCATAACGTATATTAAAAGAAAAAAACAAAGTGGCTTATTGGAACACTAGTGTGCAAACTTTTTCCTACCACATGACAAGCTAAAAACATGGTTGTCAGCATTAAAAGGTATAATTGCTGCTTTTTGCAGTGCAAATTTAGTTTGTGATGAAAATAACAGTACGTTTTCGTCAGTTATTTTATCTACATATCACTGCATTTCTTACAGATTTCTGCTCATTCGAAATCGGATACAGATGAAGTAGCACTGTAACATTACATTTGTTTGAATGCATTATTGAGAGAGTGATTGCGTGTGAGGTGTACCTGTTTAAATCATGCTTTCACCTGAAAATATTCAGTATCTATATGGAACAAACAAATTCCTTGAGAACTATAACTTCCCGCTCATGTCCATTGCCGTCATCCTAGTCTTCACATTCTTTCTGATTTGAGTGATCCATCTCTATCAAGCTAGCTAAATAGGCTATGTTTAACATGTGAAATCTTGCTAAATATGCAGTTATTTTACGGGCAGTTGGCATGAATTTTATGAATTGAGCGCTCTTGGAGTGAGTGAAGACCACGACGCTCCGACTTGAAAAAAAAAAAAAAGACGCTCCGCTCACATACTCTGATACATATCCAATAGCATGCATTTATGATGTTTTTAGTATAGGTGGATGTCATACTTCAAGGCCAAACTTGTAGAAGCTGTAGTTGAGCAGGTATTTGATGCAGGGAAGGAGACCCTTGTCCAGCGTGTCACGGGTGGCCTGGGGAAAGATGACTGGAATTGGGGGAGGTGAGCGCTGCTGTTGTCTGTAGTGATGAATCTGGTGCCGGTACACTGTTGCCTCAAACACCAGCAGCATCAGGACCAGCAGATGATCCTAATGGAACAGAGCACAGACCTAGTGTGCAACTTACTAAAACTGTAACTGTCATTTAGAGATTGAGATTTCACTTACAAAAAAAGTGACATTTTAGACTTGAGCATACTTATAAAAATGTACAATGATTTTAAAAATAACACACTATAAAAATACTACAAAAAGCCAAAAATGTGGAGATATTTCCAGGTCAAATAGAGTAAGTATTTTCACTTTTGTTTGTGTGAAAGGTAAAACAGAATCTCACCTTGGTGTAACCAAGTATAGTAGCATCTTTCCTAACACCAAACCAGTTGGCTGGGTCCACAGGTGCTTTATACAGGGTGGAGTTCAGCACTTCATCCAGTTCTAGACTGGTTTCATTGACCATTGGCTACAATACAGAGAGAAAAGGAGTAAACAATGTGGCCTAAACCAGCAAGTTTCCAACATTACATTATTTTTCTGTCCTCACTGAAAGTGAACGGTACCAACAAAATATCTTGTTGCTACATCATGTTCAATCTGTTTAGGACACTTCACAATTACTGAATGGAAAGAAACAAACTGGCAAGAAACACAAAGAACATTTCAAGTCTGCTAGACATCTTTTAGGCTGCAAGGCACAATCCTGTCAGCAGAATAGAGTAATTACTCAGAAGAGGAAAGTTTGGCCATTTATATGGCGATAAACACAAGCCTTTTTAACAGAAAGCCTGAGGAATAGCCGTAGCGTTTGTAAATCACCTGAGAATAACAATTCACTTTTTTCCCCAAACACAGATAAAACGCAAGACTAAACACATCAACTTCATCCATGCTTGAGGGTATTTGTTTAATTAGTGCTAAATTTATGAGACCAGCAGGGTGCCGAGACGTAACTATCACACAAATCTTGAGCGAGACGGTGTTGCTGTTATTAATCTTGGTACACGTGTGGGAGGAAGTGTGTACTTGCTGCATGAATGTGTTTAAAAGTACTTAGGTAAGTATAAACTAGATTTTTACATTTTATTAAGTAAATGGGAGTGCTTTCTCATGCAAAAGTCATAATAAAATGCTGTTCTGAGTAGTCCCATATGTAGTCCTGTATGGCAAAAAAAAGGTTCTTCTATGGCATCGTGAAGCACCTTTATTTTTAAGAGTGTAGACCAAATACATTAACATTGTCATATCCATCACCATGCTAAAATCTTCCGAAAGTTGTCATGATTGAAATATATATATATGGATATAAAATGTCTGATTCTAGCTGAAAATTAACAACACACCTCCCCTCAATAAATAAGTTATCAAAATGTTTTGAATCCTAATTTTACTTAAAAATAAATCAATAAATAAAATGGAAACAACAATTAAAAAAAATATGTGCTAACGTTTTTAGTGTGGTTGTTTTTTTTTCTTTCAATCTGACAAAATATTTGCTAATTCCTTTAATTAAATTTTTTTTATAATTATTTCTTTATTATACTGTAGCAGATGCAAAAATGTGATGTTAAATAGTTCAGTATTTGTTCAAATGACAGAAGCCATAGTAATAGTGATGCTTACCTTAGAAAACACTTTACAGCTAGCAATGCATAAAGTGTGTTTGTAAGCATGTGTGTTAAGGTGTCCTGTCTTACCACGGTGCAGTTGTTGGAGTACTCTGCAGTGTTGACGACACTGAGCTGGTACAGCATCTTGCAGACGATGATGACACAAACCCAGATGGTGGAGAGACAGGAGGCCATTGCTCTGAAACGGCCGTAAGGCATGGCAAAACTCCACAGCACCACCAGGACCAAGTTCATTGCAGATGGCTATGAATGAAGGGGGAAAACAAGAAAGTAAATACAAGGCAAGTGAAGTGTGAAACACTGACATATTATCACCTCATAACAAGATAGGCGGAAGCAGATGGCTGTTTCTCTGGTGTGCTGAGAAACTACATAAATAACTGCAGGTTATGAAACCGACACAATGAAATGGCCTAAATATAAGAGTGTGCAGACCTCCAATAGCGCCACCCAGACGACAAAATAAGCCACAATTTTGACGATGTGCAGCTCTAATACTCTCCAAATGAAACTCTGGACATGGGTTAAGGTGTCAGAGAACTTCCTAGACAGAACCATTACTCTGTCCATCACCAGTCCCCACTTGCTGGGTATCACCTCTGAAAATAGAATGCACACTAAAATTAGGGGTGTATGTTGGCAACCATATGAGTATTGGCCAATATTAAGTTTAGAATTCCTTTTATTGAGTTTCACCAGCACAGAAGCAGCATTTATTACTCTCACCGTCGACCTCTGATGGATCATCACCCTGCTCTGTAATGAGATCTTCCTCCTCAAATCTTACTTCCTCTGTGGGCCGAACCAAATCTGGATTCTCTATACCTCTCTTCCTGTGGGGAGATCAACAACAGCACTGTAATAAAAAAATTAAAAACCCACAAGTCGTATCTCTTCAATGTCTCAAATATTCTCAAATATTTCTCACAGAATGCAACTGGTTAAATGGAGAAATAAAAAAAATACCCTGGGAATCTGCATCAGATTTTTTATTTATTTTTTTTACTGCAAAAGACATTTTTACATCAAAATTATACATTTAATAATTATAGTCAGCATTATTAATATTTTAAATAATAGGGCTGGGCTACACAGTGTTCTTGTTACACATTACATGTACACTATAGCACTTTCAGTCTATTATGGATAGTTAAATGCAACTAACCCAACCTAAACACTGTGTTTAATGGTTTAAACCTCAAAATTAAAATTGACTTAAAAATGTTTAGATATTAATTTCTGAAATATTTCTAAAGCCTTGTTCTGCTATTTTATTTTTGCATGTGGAATAGAAAGAATACAAGGGGAAATAATGCATCACTAACAATAATGCAACAAAAAATAATGCAACACTAACAATATACCAAATTTTACATTATAACATGCAATTACACATTTGACTTATTTAAAGGATGCATCTAAAATAAAAAATGTATAGTACACTCAAAAAGATTTCAGCCTGTTTTTAAGATTTACACATCAATTACACAAACCTAAAATATATTAATTTAATAGTTACAGTTAGCTAAAATGACAAAATAGAAAGGAATTTGCAATTTGGAAATAAAATATTAAATAATAATAATGCATTTTTAATAATACTAATAATAATAAAATTAATGAATTTATATGCATTTGTTGTATTAAAAATAAAAAATACAATCCCAAATAAAGCAATAAAACTTAAGTTGTGATATGTTTTGTTGATGCTGTTGCAGTTGAATAACAGGTACATTTGCAGATAATAGTGGATTTCTTTTTCTTCTTCTTTTTTTTAAAATCAGGTAATAATGGAGTTAATTAATATTACTCAGTGCTTAAATGTTTAATTACAATGTAACAAGGACACCTTAAAATAAAGTGTAATCTAGGGATGTCAGTCACTTAAAATATTTAATTATGATTAATCTGTTAAAGGCAAGTGAATATTAATAATATGTTTAATTAACACGGTCAGAAATCGAGGACAACGCTCCAATAAATGTGCGTGTCTATATGAAAAAAGCACTGGACAAAAGTAGATTTATTTAAACATCTGACTTATAAAACTGAAAATGTGTGCTCCATTACAGTACTGCAGCTTTGATAAGTTTGTATTAGCTCTGAATGTTCTGTTTCTGTTTTTTAGGGCTGCCCCCTAACAGTCGACTAACCATTAGTCGACAAGAAGAGGCTTGGTCGACCAAAATTTTATTAGCCGCAGTAAGTAGCAAATTTGCATGGGCGCTCAATCTAATGTTATCCTAGAGAAATGTGCACTATTGAAGTGTCTGTATGGAGTGTGGAAACTGAACAGTAGCGCACTCACTGCAGGACAGATGGAGGCGCCTGTGCGGTCACTTACTCTTAAAATACTCCATCATTTTTGGTCATACAGATAAAAGTAATACATCTTTCGAATCTATCGAAGACTCTATGTTTATTTGTGTGCACTCACATTAACAATGAAACGTTGTGCTTTTGTAAAATAATGAAAGCAAACAGGATGCGCTTTCTGCCGTCTCGGTCTCTGTGAACCTGAGCACATCACTTCGAAACTCAGACATGAAAAATATATCTATAGTGAGTGAAATGTCTACTTCTAAATTAAATAATTCAAATAGAAAACAAATATTCTCAGATTATGTAATCCGTATGAAACATGCATAAAGGCGCATCACTACTGTGGAGATGACGAGTCAGTGTTGCTGACTTCATCTCTTAAGTCGAAAACAAAGAAAAGCACTAGTATATCAATAAATTATTTAAACGTTAATGTAGTCTACTTGCTGTTTTTCCCCGTGTGGCAAGCGACATAATTAAACACGGCGGGTGAAAAACACGCGGCTCGGAAGAAACAAATCGACTGCCATCCATCTGGTGTCACTCCTAAGTGCTGTAGCTCAGGGCATCTGAACGGGCCGGATGAAAACCGGCCGACACGCATCCAAATCATTCAGACGTCGCTATAAATAGCCGCGATCCCAAACAGCCCATCAGTAACGCGAGTTGTGAGGCGAAGATGAGTGCTTAAGAGGCCGGATCAATAGGAGAACATTTGAGTAGGTGTTTCTCCTCAAAGCGACTCCATTGGCTTCCAGAGAAATCCATTTGCAGTGAGCTAATGATCTCGCAGTAAGCCAACTCTTTCTTTATTTATTTTGGGGACAGCAGGCTGGAGCCGCGCGGCTGGCACTGATAACTGCCCGGCTCTGCTTCAACTCGGCATAAAATGTCTGTTAATCTACCTCTCTGACCAAACACACAAAGAAAACCAGAGCGAGAGAGAGCTATAACAAGATAGAGAGAGAGAGAGAGAGAGAGAGATATGTGACCATCAGATCAAGTTTCCGTCAGCTCGAATAGCTATTGACCGGCCCGAGCAGCTTCTATCTGCGGTTCTTTTCTGTCAATCGAGGGAAATTAGAGAAGAGAGGAGCGAGAGCGGAGGAGAAAGAGCGAGACTACAGTGTTCAGAATAACATGAGCAATTTTCCTGCAGTTTATGACCAACTACAGGGCAGTAATGTCACTGAAACTAGTTTTAAAAACAGTTTCACTTTTGACTCATTTTTAATCAAACTGGTAGATGTTTAAGTTGAAGTGAATAATTTCTGCATTACTACATGATTTTTTTTTTCTAAGAAACTAAACGATAGACACTTGAAATATTAAATGTTATATACCGTAATACAATATAAAATAATTTAGATATAAAAGTATAAAATGTTTCTTTATATATGTATATATTAGAGCTGCAGTCGACTAGTCGACTAACCATTAGTCGACAAGAAGAGGCTTGGTCGACCAAAATTTTATTAGCCGCAGTAAGTAGCAAGGGCGCTCAAGCGCTCAATCTAATGTTATCCTAGAGAAATGTGCACTATTGAAGTGTCTGTATGGAGTGTGGAAACTGAACAGTAGCGCACTCACTGCAGGACAGATGGAGGCGCCTGTGCGGTCACTTACTCTTAAAATACTCCATCATTTTTGGTCATACAGATAAAAGTAATACATCTTTCGAATCTATCGAAGACTCTATGTTTATTTGTGTGCACTCACATTAACAATGAAACGTTGTGCTTTTGTAAAATAATGAAAGCAAACAGGATGCGCTTTCTGCCGTCTCGGTCTCTGTGAACCTGAGCACATCACTTCGAAACTCAGACATGAAAAATATATCTATAGTGAGTGAAATGTCTACTTCTAAATTAAATAATTCAAATAGAAAACAAATATTCTCAGATTATGTAATCCGTATGAAACATGCATAAAGGCGCATCACTACTGTGGAGATGACGAGTCAGTGTTGCTGACTTCATCTCTTAAGTCGAAAACAAAGAAAAGCACTAGTATATCAATAAATTATTTAAACGTTAATGTAGTCTACTTGCTGTTTTTCCCTGACACATTCATAATTATTATATCTGCCGGAGCGCTGTGGCAAGCTTGAGCACTTATTAGGCTATATAGGCAATTAAAGGCTCATTATTATGATTTATATGGTTTATTAATAGACTAATAAACTATTAGTCGACCTAATAGTCGACTAATGCTTAAAATGAACGACTACTAGTCGGCCAGAAAAATCTTTAGTCGAGGGCAGCCCTACTGTTTTTTTGTTTTTTTGTTTTTAGACATGTCCCAAAAGATAATGAAACAGTTATGATGAAAATCTGAACAAATAATTCTAAATAGTATTCAGAATTTATAGTATTAAAAACTACATATGCTAACTTTTACAGTTCAAAATAATTAATGTCTTTTAAATGATTCTAAAATGCATTTTATTTTGGTAAATTAAAATTAGTCTAGAATATATTAATGCATTTGTTCAGAGGTAGTGCTCATGCCTGTGGATGGGCGTGACATTCTCCAGATCTGTGATCTTCATAAAGGGTTTATGGAAGTAGTGAAGCTGTAGAATACAGGCCAACAGGAAGAAGCCTGGGATCACAATACTGGTGAAGAGCTCAGATAGTTTAAACGTCTCCAGTCCCATGTCAGTCAACCTAAAGATGGAGAACCATATGCAATTATCACATGTACCTAAAAATTAAAATTCCAACATCACTTACTCACCCATATAACATTCCAAACCCATAAGACTTTCCACAGAACACAAAACAAGACACTATGCAGAATTTGTATGTGTGATTACAGTCTTTTTTCCAGCTCTTCTGAAGCTTAAAGGTCCCACACTCATTTACTTTAATTGTGTTGAAAAGAGCAGCAGGAACATTTAAATAAACTTCTCCTTTTGTGTTCCACAAATACATAAATGAACATGGGTTTGGAATGGCATCAAGGTCCTTCTTTTCATATATCCTCTGAAACACTTACAAATAGTAAACACTAAACCAGGGGACATACTGTTGTTCTGTGAATCCAGTGAAGTTTCCCCAATAGCCTGGAAAGTCCTCAAACTGAAAGGTGTAAATAGCAATGAGCACCACCATGGTGTAGGCCACCACCATCCACCAGAAGGCCTTCAGCAACCTCCTCCAGAGAGAATAGTACACCTAAGGACAGAGAGTTTTTTTTTTTGCTCAGTTTTATGATTAAATTTAGAGAATAATATTATATCTCATACTGCATGTGGGCTGGTAAAAGTGTACCTGATATAGGCACAGGCAGAGCAGAAATAGCAGCATGTAGACGATCTTGTAGGCTACAAGCTTTCCTGCAAAGCTGACCATGATGAACATGCCTCCACACACGTAGATCCAGTACTTAGCATACAGACTCATCACCAGCCCACCAAACACCTTCAAAATCGACTCATTTCGACCTGTGCTCTCTGAAAGAGAAAGAGAGAAAAAACACTCTTAAACTACACTATCTGGTTAAATGAGAAACCCAAAAATAAAATAAGACAAAGTAAGAAGAGTTTAACCACTCAAAACCACTTTTATGACTTTGTATATAAAACCCTGATTTTATAGTACTTAAGTGGTGCTTTTTTGTCTTAACTGCTCAACTGTCTCAGTCTCTCTTTTTTTAACTATCTACAAATTGTCTCTTTTTGATTTCTATACATTTTGATTTTCATACAGGTTTGGATTGATATAAGCATGAATAAATGAGGACATAATTTTCATTTTTGTGTAAACTAGTCCTTTAAGCAAATGCCTTTGAAATGAATTTTAATTCACTGAAAAAATAAATAAAAAATAAAAATGTTGTAGGATTTAAAATTTTCACCATGAATTAAACAAAATTTTGAAGTAGAAAGACTAAAAAGTTTTTTTTTCATATACACTACCACATGCTGTATTACATATCGACTAATAAATTACAGAAAGTTTAGCAAACACTTATCATCAGGTAAACAGCAAAAGTCTACAGGTTTTTCAAAACGAAAACAAAAAGAAAATTAAAACTAAATTGGCTGTTGGTGGCAGTGTGTGTGTTTGCCAAGAAAACCAAGAAACAGGAAGAATAGATGAGGTGGAGCAGAGGGGGAATTACGAATGTTTTAATAATGATTATTAACAGACAGTGATTAATGCTTTAATTTCCCGAATGTCCTGAATGAATCAGAAATGTTTTTCTCTTGTTCCAGATAAATGGCAGGGTTTTCATGAAGTAGATGTGAGTTTGACTCTGGTCCCCGGGCCCAACATCACTTCCTGTTCTCTCTAAATTTGATCTATCAAAAAAATGGCACAAAACCAAACAAAATTGTCTCTCCTGATGTTCTCGCTCACCTCCAGTGGTGACCTCCTGCAATGGTGCAGTTATTCTCTTCTTCCTGCTGAACATGTCCTTTACAGACTGTCTCAGCAAAAGCCAAAATGTCAACGTGAACAGCAGCTGAGAATAAAGAGAAAAAGAGTGAAGCAATATTTACACTTTGCTCACAGTGTATTATGAAACATCATGAGAATTATGACTGATCATGTGGTTTACGTGTGGTTGGATTGTGTAAAGATGTAGCAAGTGAGAACAAGTTTTCCCATCTACATTTCTGACTAACTTCAATGTTTATTGCAGCCATCTATATCCCAATACATAACGCCATTTAGAATTGTAATTTTATACAGAAACGTTGTGCATTCTAAACTAAAAGCAGTGCGTCCAAACTCATGCAGGCACACCAACAATACATATTCTACCTTTTCTAACACATCCATTTCAGGACTTGAAGTCTCCACAAGCTGATGAGCTGAATCAGGTGTGTTTGAGTAAGAAGCTTTTGAAAATATGTACTGTTGGTGTGCCTCCAGGAACAGTGTTGGGAAACACTGCATTAAAGGAACATTTTTGGTTCAAAAGTCAAACTTGACAGCATTTGTGGCGTAATGTTGATTATACCCCAAAAAAATACTTCTCCCTTGTTTTCTTAAATGAAAAAGACAAAAAAGAAAAAGTGTGAGGCACTTACAGTGGAAAGGAATGGGGCCGGTTTATGGAGGATATAAAATTGAAATGCAGAAACGTGAAGCTTATGATTTTATAATATCACAACAATTAATCTGTTAAAGGTTGCATTTAATTTGAGATATAAAGTTGTTCTCATCAGTTTTACAGTCATTTTAGTTTTTTTTAGTTGTATACAAATCTACTGTAAAATTGTATACAACTTTACACAGAAAAGACTGAGCAATTTTTAACACTAATTATGTTGAACACATTTGTTTATATCTTGTGGCTATCCAACTGAACCAGTGAGAATTGTATATAATTTTACATATTGGGCCCATTCACTTCCATTGTAAGTGTCTCACTGTAACCCTTCTCTAAAAATTATGATTAAATAAACAGTAATTAATGATTTTGTTTCCTTAACTTTGAATGAATCTGAAGTGAATAGTATATGCTTAAAATAAATGTCATGGCTTTATGGCTGGCACATATGCCAGAGAATTAATGTGGTAGATGTGAGTTTGAGTCTGGTCTATGTCATCCATTTCTCTGTAATTTTACAGTCATTTTAGAGTTTTAGATATAATTTTGTTATGGACATGATTGTATACAACTTGCATTGTTTATGCCTTGTGGCTATACTATTGAACCAGTGAGAACCTTATTGTTCACATACAAGCCCCCTTCACTTCCACTGTAAGTTCCTCCTTTTTCTTTTTATTCAAAGAAAAGGAAGGTCAAGACAAAATTCATTTTCCTGGTAATCAACATTGAGCTGTAAGTGCTTATTTGAGCAAACTTCTATTTAACCCAGAATGTTTTCTTTTTAAATAGAAACTTGATTATTATCCAACTAGTATTACACGATAATGGCAGTCATACAAAAAAAAATACATTTGCCAGAGCTTCACTGTCCTCACCATGGCTCCTAAACGCAAACAGGGGTACTGTGCTCGGTCCAAACCCAGCTGGCGCAGGCTCATGGTTCCAATGTGCTGGGGCAGTTCCGTTTCTAGGTCCATGGCCCACACATACTGCAGACAGCAAAGAGTGAAACCATACAACAGAATGAAGGGAGAGCAAAGAGTGGCAAAGCGTTGACGTGCCCGCAGCATCCAGATCAAGCATGACCACAGCAGCAGCACAAACGTCAGCCAACTATGGTATGTTATACTCCACACCTGCAGGGGCAAGAACAAAAACACATTATTCAAGTGTAAATTATTGTTCGGACAATGAATCAGCACAAAGCTTTACATCTATAGATAGAAGAGAATATTTATTTTACCATCATGGCTATGAGGGCACAAATGTAACTTTGTTGCAAGATCATTCGTCCCACCAGGCGAAGAGGATTATCGGCTGCGGCCTCTCCACTGGGCCCTGCACAAACAAACATCACAAGCTCAGAAATATACATACAGATTAAAGGTGAACTGGCATCTTCTCTAAGTGTAAATGCACAATGTACATTGCCCTACCTATGTCATGTTGGCTTGAACCATTGGTCACAGGTTCTTTAGACATCTGTGATTCAGACAGAGGTGACTCTCCCGTGGTGAGAAGTGTTTGCTAAACAAAACAAACCAAAAGACACAATGGTTTCACACAAGGACTGCATCCGACACTTTTTTCATAAGTACTTAATCTGATTTTTATTCCTTTAATTAATGAAATATTCATTCCACATCATTGTGTTATCAGGTACAAGGTGTTTAGGTGAGAATATTCAGCAGAAACACACATTCCCTTCTCTTATAGAGATAGTCCAGCCAAGGCATAGTTCCAAACTTGAATGACTTTTTTTCCTCTGTGAAACATAATAGAAGATATTTTGAATAAGGCTGGTAACCAAACAGTTTTGGTTCCCATTGTTTTCCACTGTATGGATAAACAATACATTGTATGGAACCAAAACTGTTTGGTTGCCAACATTGTTCAAAATATCTTCTATTATGTTCCACAGAAGTAAGAAATGATGACAGAATTTTCATTTTCATTTTAACATAGTCACACTCTGAAATCAATAGATTACTTCTTCTGTAATGAATCAATGTATGTGACTACTCCTTATGTCTCAATCATTTTATTATAGCTACTGTTCATATAAAAATATACATCTATAGATAGAAGAGAATAGATCTGTACATCTATAGATCTGTATTCCAAATGTGCTCAATTTTAATGACATGTAGATTGGTGTTAGAACATGTTTTGTATAATACAAATACTAAAATATATAAAATATAAATAAAATACTAAAATATAAATAAACTTGTTTACATTCATACAAATACATATTTTCTATTTTAAAAGATCATTTGATGATCATTATTAATACTGTTTTTTTTTTTTTTTACTTTTTGTCATTGCAGCCCTATTTCACACATTACATAAAAGCTGTGGAATTAGTTTGACACAGTTGAACCAATCTGCAAGCTTATGTTACATCTATGAAACAGCACTGGAAAGCATTTCAGTGTATTCCATTTTAAGCATTCCTGTACAAATATCTGCTAAAAAAAATTATTTGAGATTTACATGCATTCTGAACACTAAAAGTTGCCACAGACATGGATGTACATGCTATTTTAGGATTTTATTATTGTTATATTTTTGTACTCAGCACTGTTGATTAACATACTCCAATTTGACTGAGAATAAAAATCTGAGTAAATATACTTGTTTTTAATACAAATTGGGGGCTCGTCCAGGATATTTTTTTGTTGTCAGGTAGTTTTAGTAAAAGTTGGTCAATACAAGTTGTGTGTTTTGTGTTTTAGGTAGAATAGGTAGGAGGAATAATAGGCAGAGTTTGTGAAGAACCACAGTGATTCAAGTCTTACCTTAGTGTCATCTTCATTACTATGTCTACTTGCCTCCCAATGCCTGAGCTCCACTTCCTCTCCAGCCTCACCCTGTACTGCTTTAACTGCTCCACCCTCATCGGTCTCCACAAACAGAAAGACATTACATCAGTTAATATATGAATCACCAACTAACCCAAACTCCATTACTGTACACAAACAATGAGTCAAATGTTATTCAGTGGCTTACAAGGGTACAAATGTAATGTGTGGATAACTGAGATTACTGTGTGACATCTTGTTCAAGGAGTTATTAAAAGGACAGTTCAGCTAAAAAAAAAGTAATTAAATTCAGTGAACAGATGAAGGACAGAATGTCCTTTTTTAAGCTTGACATCAACTGGTTGGAAAACAACGTGAACATTCTGCTGATTCACTTAAGGTAAAGATGACAGAATTGTAATTTTTGGGCGAATTATCCTTTTAATTGAACAAATGAGTATGTGAAAGCACCTTGTCTGTGTGGCCAAGACTGTAACTGTTGATTTTCAGCACAATAGTCACAGAGATGTACAAGAGGAAAAGAATGCCAGGATTGACGTACACCGGCCAGTCATGTTGCGTGTTGATGTTGATGTCAAAAGAAGAGCAGTTTCCAGGCTTTATTATCGCCTTCAGGCCAAACAGTCTGAAGCAAAAAAGAAGTGAGTGAAAAACATGCAACCTTTGACTTTCTGTGATATTCTGGTCACTACATATAGCCCAAATCCCTTTCAAGGAAAATTAGTTAGTTCACTCGGTGGCCATATTTACAATGTCTACTAGCAAATATTTCAGGCATGCAAAACCAATTCTTATCTACTTGAATGGGAACATAGCGGAATCTCAAATACTCCTTGTCAAACTCACATTTAAATGACATTTTAAATTAGCAACAAAATCTAAAATGAACTTTGCATAAATTTAGTCTCTTATAGTGTTAAAAAAAGCATATACACTACCAGACAAAAGTTTTTTACAGGAGTTTCTTATGCTCATCAAGGCTGCATTTATTTGATCAAAAATACAGGGAAAAATTTAATATTGTGAAATATTATTATGATGTAAAATAAAGTTTTTCTATTTTAAGATACATTAAAATATAATGTATTCCTGTGATACAAAGCTGAATTTTCAGCATCATTACTCCAGTCTCCAGTGTCACATGATCCTTCAGAAATCATTCTAATATGCTGATTTATTATCAGTGCTGGAAACTGTTGTGCTGCGTAATATTATTTTTGGAACCTGTGATACTTTTTTTTCAGAATTCTTTGATGAATAAAAAGTTAAAAAAAAGAGCATTTATTTAAAATAGAAATATTTTCTAACAATATACACTACAGTTCAAAAGTTTGGAGTCAGTAAATTTTTATTCTTTCTTTTTTTGAAAGAAATTACAACTTTTATTCAGCAAGGATGTGTTAAAATTGTTAAGAAGTGATAGCAAAGATTTATATTGCTAGAAAATATTTATATTTTGAGAAAATGCTGTTCTTTTTTACTTTTGTTGATCAAAGAATCCTGAAAAAAGTATCGCAGTTTCCAAAAAAATATTGTATATATAAATAACTGTTGCCAACATTGATAATTCTAATAATAAATCAGCATATTAGAATGATTTCGTAAGGATCATGTGACACTTTATACTGGAGTAATGGCTGATGGAAATTCAGCTTTGCATCATAGAAATAAATTATATTTTAAAGGATATTAAAATAGAAACCATTATTTTATATTGTAATAACATTTTGTAAGATTACCCTTTCGATACTTCACTCGTACTGCGTCTTGCTTAAGACGCATATGGGAAAAAGCCTTTTTTCTCCTGAACTGAAGCCTTTTTTCATTCACGCAGTGAAACTGCACGGCCATTGGTTCGTGCAGAGCTTAAAAAACGAACCAATGGCGACGAAGCCCGCCGAAGCCCGCCAGAATGGGCGGAGCATTTGGCTATATAAGCGGGCGCTCGCCACAGGATTCTCAGATTTCTTCTCCTTCAGCGACGACTCTACGCTCATCGCTGATCCTGAAAGCCTGCTCGCCGTTGACACGCCTTCTGGAATCGGGACCTCTCAGCACAGCTGACCTGCTTCTCCGCCGCTACAGCGACGCAGCAGTTCCGGTCCGTTTTCCCTGCCGCCATCCGGCGATTCTAAGAGCTTATTTCTAGCAGGTAAGCCCTAAAAGAGCAAATTTTAGCGACGTTGCTGCAAATGTCGCTCTGCGAGTGTGGCTCGTGCAGGGAAACTTCCACGATGCAGAAGAGCAATGAGTATGTCATCTGTCTGGGCAGACCCCATGCAGAGACTGCTCTCTCACTGAGACGGAATGCTCACTCGAGCATGAGTCTCATTCTTCTCCACTCGTGGACCGCCTTCACTGGAGGCAGCCCCGCTCTCCCGTTTCTCCTCTCTCAGCGAGCCTTGGAGAGAGAAACAGGGGAGTCAGGGAGCTAAGCAACCGGGTCTGAGTGATCGCATGCCGGCACTGTACCCGCGTGCTCGCTCTCCCCGTTGCACTAGGATCCGCCCCAGAAGGGCAGTGAGCTATGCGCTTACTGAGACAAAATGCTCATTCGAGCATGAGTCTCGCTCTTCTCCACTCGCGGACCGCCTTCACGGAAAGCAGCCCAGCTCTCCCATTTCTCCTCTCTCAGCGAGCCTTGGAGAGAGAAACAGGGGAGTCAGGGAGCTAAGCAACCGGGTCTGAGCGATCGCATGCCGGCACTGTACCCGCGTGCTCGCTCTCCCCGTTGCACTAGGATCCGCCCCAGAAGGGCAGTGAGCTACGCGCTTACTGAGACAGAATGCTCACTCGAGCATGAGTCTCGCTTTTCTCTACTCGCGGACCGCCTTTTACTGAACAGCCCCACTCTCACGTTTATCCTCTCGCAGCAAGCCTCGGAGAGAGAAATGAAGAAGCCTGGGAACTAAGCAACCGGGTCTGAGCGATCTCACGCTGACACAGAGCCTGCGTACTTGCTCTCCCCGCTGCATTTCGATCCGTGTCTCACACAAAAGGATTAGTGCCCCTCTTTACATCGAGCGGCTTTATCCTACAAAGTAGATCGGAGCAGATGCTGCTGCTGACAGCTTCAAATTTGTGTGTGTGTCACTAGGGCTGCGCTCACAGATGGGCCGCTTTTACCACAAAAGCAGTCTGCCCCCGTTCGTTCGCGGAAGGTGGCCCCCGCCTCCCCGCGCTCATGTTTCTCTCCTCCCAGCTACCTCGGAGGAAGCAACGACAAGCTCGCGGGTTGAACGATCAGACTTGAGCAATCCTCTACACACATCGTGCGTGCTTAATCTGCCGGTATGTGTTACACATGAGGATCGGAGCACTTCATTATACGAGCAGCTTAATCCTCCCAGGTGGATCAAAGCGAAACGCGGGCAGCTTCGCATTTGTGTGTGCGTTGCTAAGCCCCGCCTCCCCCGCTCTGGTGTTTCTCTCCTCCCAGTTACTTGGAGGCAGAAATGGCAAACTCACGGGTATGATCGATCAGGCTTGAGCGATTAAAGTCGGCAAGGCCCCCGCTTGCATCACTCTCCAAGCAGCACTTTGACAGGGTAAACTTCCTCTTTCATTACTCGTAAGTGTTCTGCCCCCCTGCGGCCAGTCACCCGAGTTAATTTAACCCCTCGTCACGCGAGCCGAGGCCTGGCAGGCCACCCCCGGAGTGTTGAGATGGGTTATGGGGATAATAAAGCGAGGATATTCACTCCAATTCGCTCCAAGACCCCCGCGCTTCAGCAGCGTGGTCCCCGCCTCAGTGCAGAGCAAGGACGCTCACGTCCTGCGCTCAGAGGTGATGAATTTGCTGGCAAAAGAAGCTGTGGAAACCGTTCCTCCAGCCCAGAGCGAGTCAGGCTTTTACAGCAGTTACTTCCTCTTCCCCAAAAGAGATGGTGGCCTCCGACCCATCTGCTATCTCAGACACCTAAGTCGCGCCCTCATGAAGAGGTCGTTCAGGATGATTACACTGAAACAGATCCTTGCGCAAATTCGCTCGGGAGACTGGTTCTTTTCTATGGACCTGAAGGATGCATACTTTCACATTCAGATAGCCCCTCGTCACAGGCCATTCTTGAGATTCGCCTTCGAGGGAGTGGCTTATCAATATACGGTCCTTCCCTTCGAGCTGTCCCTGGCCCCCCCGCACTTTACGAAGTGCATGGATGCGGCTCTCTCCGCTCTAAGACAGATGGGAATCCGTATTATCAATTACCTCGACGACTGGCTTGTTCTGGCCCAGTCGGAGGTCAGAGAGATTCAAGATTCAAGATTTTTTATTTGTCACATACATGGTTATATACAGAATATATGACCAGCAGTGAAATATAAGTCAGGTCCGCTCCATGGACAGTGCAATTATTAAAGAATGCAAACACAAGAAAAATATATATAAATATAGGTATGGAAAAAGATTTTTAAAAATAAATAAAAATAAGAATAAAATAGAATGTGCAGGACAGTATACTGTAGACTTAATAAATAATAAGATGAGCAGGAAAGTACAAGAGAAGAATGTGCAAACAGGTTGTACAGGGTAGTTCAATAGCAGCAATAGAGTTAAAAAAAAAAAGTAAATCAATAAAATATAACAGAAACAGTCTTTGACTGGCTTTATTAACCTGAGTTTGGATGTGTGAAGTCCAAGTCAGGTCCTTGGAGATGTTTACACCAAGGTACTTGAAGCTGCTCACCCTCTCTACTGGGGTCCCACTGATCATAAGAGGAGTAAAGGGCTGTTGCTGTCTCTTCATGAAGTCCACAATCAGCTCTTTAGTTTTACTCACATTAATAGAGAGACAATTGTCCTGGCACCATGATGTGAGTTTCTCTACCTCATCCAAGTATGCGGCCTCATTGTTGTTGGAAATGAGGCCCAGAACCACAGTATCATCAGCAAATTTGATGATAGATGTGGAGCTGTGGGAAGACACACAGTCATGAGTGTAGGAGAGTAGAGCAGAGGACTCAGGACACAGCCCTGTGGAGTTCCCACGTTCAGAGTGATGGAGTTGGAGGTGAACTGGCCTACTTTCACCACTTGAGGTCTACCAGTGAGGAAATCTAGAATCCAGTTGCAGAGTGAAGAATTCAGGCCGAGGTCCATGAGTTTAGAAGCTAGCTTGATGGGGAGTATAGTATTGAAAGCTGAGCTATAGTCGAGTAATAGCAGCCTTACATACTGTAAATGTGCATGAGGGAAGAGTGCAGGACGTGAGAGATGGCATCGTCAGTAGATCTGTTGGGGCGATAGGCAAACTGAAGAGGGTCCAAAGTATCAGGGATGGAGGAGCAAATGTTGTTCTTTATAAGTTTCTCAAAGACCTTCATGACTATTAACGTGAGGGCAACTGGACGATAGTCATTCAGGCAAGAGGGGTTATTGTTCTTAGGCACAGGGATGATGACAGATTTTTTAAAGGGGGTGGGAACCACCGAGGTAGCAAGGGACTCATTAAAGATAAATGTAAACAAACCAGCGAGTTGATCAGCACAGGACCTCAGAACATGGCCAGAAATCCCATCAGGACCTGCTGCTTTCCTGACGTCCACTCGCTTTAGGGCCCTCCGAACCTCGTCCTCCGACACAGTGATTGCATGATTATCGCTGCTCTGTCTGCAGCTTCCTGACGC